AACGTCACAAACGGCTCTAACGTCTATTAAGCACATCCGGTTTTGTAGGGCTTAATTTAGAATCAAAGAATTGACGAATTAAAGAATTATGAAAGGGAAGAATGTAAATATAAGCATTGAATTCATATTTCTGGATGTCGTCGGTCCTATAACACACCTTGCCGTGCTGACAAATTATCATAAAGGTATTCAATTTGATGGCACGGTCATTTGTGTTAAAGGACCGACCACCGACAACATCCAATAATAAGAATTTAATGCTTAAATAACATAATATATACTCAGATGGCATTAAGGTGCTTGAGTCTCTTGTCTAGACATGCTAACGAAATACATATCTGTGACCTGTCAGCAGGGGATGATCACTCCTCCATGGCACCTGATCCCACCTCTGATGTTTTAGAGCTCCGTAGTTGCTCTGCTCCTATTTTGTATTATTGTTTTATGGACTTTGATATTGAATACTGTTCGTTATCTCCATATCCTTCATCTTTTATGGTAAGACTGGAGGGAAAGAGGGAAAAACATTAACAATAGCTCTCTTTTACCCCCCCCCTTTTTTTAATAGAATTTTTTATCAAAAGTAATATCCTTTCCCTTTAATGAAGAATTAATTTGATTTAAAACTAGACGTTTGTCATATTTCTGAAAGACATCAATTCAGTTAATTTTTTTTTCTCTTTTTCTGACATTTTGTCACCGGCATTAAATGGTAATTTCATAATAAGTGAAGTATTGTGATTTTTAAAACATTATCTATTCAATAAGTTTATCTAAGGAAAATATTTTGCAAATGCAAATATTTCGAATTAAACTCTCCGTTTGAACAGAGCATTATATAGCGTATGTATAAGAAGTATAAGAAGCAGTGGAAATACATGAGAAAAAATATTTGAAATTTACAATTATTGTAATTATTACAGATTGGATTGGCATCCTTATAAAGTAAGCGAAAGAGTTATCGACTATGCATGACCCCAAAGTTACAAGAAATGTTTCATAATTATTATCTGAAATTTACTTTCCCGCCATTTTAATGCTTACTGTATGTAAAACGTAACATAATCCATTCCTATTCAAAAATAGTTTTAAATGGATCTTTTAGACATATTTTCTTCTAGATAAGCTTAAGCAGTCAACTTAAAACAAATTATCAATTAATCAAATATTCAATAAAATAAATGAATAAATAAATGTTTTAATTTGTACTAAAAATAACTTTTGGCAATTCAGACCTTGCCATGATTATTGAAAAATACAAATAAATACTGCTTCAGGGGTTTATCCCCTCCTTGTATGCCCCATTCTTTTAAGATATTCATTGTATTTGTTTTTCCAAGTCTAGACAACAGAGCAACAAAACTTATTTTTCGAGATACACCAAAATATAATTAGAACATTTATTATATACAAAGGATTCATATTATCCATCCTTATCAATTCCTTCTTGTAATCAGAGAAATCAGAGTTATCCCCTTTTACGAAGTAAAATATTTTTGATCCGCATTCCTCATCTCTTTGAAAATCTATTCGCTTGCTTTATACTATGAACATGTACTGTATTGTATAATTATGTTGTCGATGTAATATTCGTTTAATAAATTGGCAATGTTCGTTGCTTGAATTAGTCTAGCGAATGTCTAGCACTATTCCATGTCAAGGAGGATTGAAAATTACAAGGTAAAAAAAGCAAAAATTATATAAATTGTCATAAAATTCCATATTTAGATATCCCCACGTTTTTTCTTCCACACAAGCATGATTTTGACCTTTCTCTTGCCATTTTAAGAGTACTTTTAAAAATATTTAACTTTTAAAAATTTATTTGGAATCTGGAAAATAAAATACCTGCAAATGCTTTTTTGTGCGAGAAAAGTAAATTTCAATCATTACTGCTAATATGATTAGGGAATATACATGATGATAACTCTAGTCTTTCATCATCGTTTTTTGTAATGAAATATACGGAGATAACGAATAATATTCAAGATCCATAGTCAATAAAACAATACGAAATAAGAGTAGAGCAAACACGGACTTCCAAAACATCAGAGGTGGTATCAGGTGCAATATAAATAATTATACTTAATTCTGACATTTGATGTAAAAATATTGTCCAAAAGAATAGAGATCCGCATCTAAGATCATTGCCATTGGCAATTATTTCCTATCGAAACATCTTGTACGTGAACTTGAGGATATAAATGCTTAAAACTATTTAACCGATCTTCTAATTTATTTATTTTGATTTAAGAAAATATTAGAAAATGATAATATGATTTAATACAACAAGAAATGTTGGATTCTCTTTCTCTCTCTCTCGTCAAATTGTGCATACTATAGTTTGAGTGCCATGAAATATTTTATGCTGACGCACTTAGCTAGCGCTGTAGTTCCAATGTTATATACGAAATATACTTAGTATATTTTAAAATTGGGTTATCTTCCAAAATATTGATTTCAAAATATTTTTATCAGCACTTATCTCAAACAAACAAACTGCTCATAAAATATAAGGAAATTAACAGAATATTCAACCAAGAGAATTATTTAATTTTTGATAATCATATTGCACATTTTGTAACAGAATTATTTAAATTTGATAAGCATACTATACATATTGCAGCAAAGAATTATTTAATTTTGATAAGTATATTGCACATAAAGCTTGTAACAGAAGAATCATTAATTTTGATAAGTATGTTGCATAAGTTGTAACAGAAGTATGATTTCATTTTGTTAAGTATATTGCATATATTGTAGTAGAATAATTTAATTTGATGAGTAAATTGCACTCATTGAAACAGAAGAACTATTTGAATTTGATAAATATATTGTGCATATTGTACATGCATTATTTAATTTTGATAAGTGTATTGCACATATTGTAACAGAAGTATTATTTAATTTTGATAAGTATATTGCATATATTGTAACAGAAGTACATTGTATTATTTAATTTGATATGTACATATTGCATATATTGTATCAGAAGAAGTATTTAAATTTGATAAATATACTGTACATATTGAAATAGAATTATTATCTAATTTTGTAAAATATATTGCACATAATGTAACACAAAAATTGAGAAGCATATTGCATATTTTATAGAAGAAGAAATATTCAAATTGGATAAGTATATTGCAAATAATGTAATAAAAGAATTACTGTATTAAAGTTTGATTAGTATATATATATATACGAAATACATATCTGTGACCTGTCAGCAGGGGATGATCACTCCTCCATGGCACCTGATCCCACCTCTGATGTTTTAGAGCACCAAGTCTTAAAAAACTGTTGACCAAGGCCCGTTTTACAACACAGGAGGAAATTCCAACCATTAAAAAATGCGGAGATCCGAGATGCGGAACATGTACATATTTAGAAGAAATAAAATCCAACTTAAATCAGGAATGGAAATTCGAACCAACTCATCTATGAACTGTAAATCGGAAAACGTCATCTACTGTGCCATCTGTCCGACGTGTAAAGAATATTATATTGGACAAACGGGAAAATTAAATGCCAGGGTTCGTGTGCACAAGCAACAAATTAAAGACCCTAGTGTGCGTAATACGCCGTGTTGTGAACATTTCGCAAAATGTGGCAAATATTTTCCCTTTTTATAAACTTATGAAAACGAAAATTTACGTTTGGCAAACGAAGATTATTTTATCAACCTCTTTAAACCAAAACTTAATCGCAAATGATACTGTATATTTTATATTTTGAAATTTCATTTGTATTGTGAAAGTTAGTGCAAGATATATACGCCAACTTAACGCTACCTACATCTATTATGACGTCACAATGAACTTTATGCTTTTGACGTTACCAGATAACCTACCTGACATTTGTATAACTGCCTGAAGAGCCGAACATTGCAGTAAATGTTTTGTATATTTTTGGATTTTTACTTTTAAATATACCAAAAACTGTACCGATTCTTCATTTTGTTTTGAAATTATATATATATATATATATATATATATATATATATATATATATATATATATATATATATATATATATATATATATATATATATATATATATATATATATATATATATATATATATATACTGCACATATTATAACAGGATTATTATTTAAAATTGTTAGGGATATTGCACATATTATAATAGATATATTATTTGAATTTTTTAAGTATTTGGCATATATTGTTATAGAATATTTTTTTCCCAAATTGATAAATATATTGCACAAACATGTATTTCAACAGAAATATTGTTTTAATTTGATAAGCATATTGCACATATTGTGACAAAGTACATTTATTTAAAAAGATTTTTTAATTGGATAAGCAAATCACATATTTGCTCTATACTTGTATATCTTTCATTTTTGCAGATAATAAAAACTTCTAGGTACAAACTGGGCATTGTTATAATTTACAAAACCAATTTTGTTCAATATAATATCTCTGATCTGTACTTCAACCAGTCTAAGTGATGAACACCAGCTATTTTATCAGTTTATAAATAATTTCATATAACATTTGAAAGATCCGATATCGAATCGTTTGTTACTGGACTTGAAACCGACATTTCCAGATGTTAGTTCACCCATTATATCCACAGAGTCAAAAGCCATAATTTTAAAAGCAACAAATTTTAACTTCAATTCGATATACACGTAACACTACGAATAAATAAAAACATTGAATTCTGCCCAATTAAAAAAAAAATATAGAGTCTCTCTATCTATGTGAATCATAAATATTTCGTAAATGATGGCTTAAACCCGGCATTGCAATTGTCGGGCGATCTCCTAAGCCCACAGAGCTAAGAGCAGTAACAAGAGCGACACATTTTAACCACATTTCTATATACATGCAAATCCTCCCAGAATGAATCCAATATATTGTATATAATACCATATGCTGGTAACAACCCTACAGTCTTTTTTCGCTCGGTATATCACCTGTTTACCTGCAATTGTTGTCACCAATTACCATGGCAATGCGATTCTATTTTCTATTGCTTATTGTCAGAACGAAACTATTGGTTCAGTGCCGCGAATCGACGCAGGGGATTCTATGTTCGGTATATGAAAGACTGTCGATATCGCCTTATGCTGACTTGTAGTCTTGAAATGTCAGCTATATCATATAACGTTCCATGGATAGGTCCTCTGTCTATAGTAATGTAGAACAACATCAGGGAGATTCTTTTTTCATTAATGACCAAAGATTCTGAGGGGAATTGAAAATATCCGATGTATTCCGGGCCCGTGTGTCCGGAGTGGTCAGTTCAGTGTGGGTAATTGTATCAAGAAGAGAAAGAGTTAAAAGCGATTTTCCGCCGATTTCCCGGGGAGTCTTTTGTTGCTCTGAATTTGCCTTTAGTGATGGCGCTACCTGATGGAGTAGTGTCAAATAATCAATACCCCGAGTACAACTTTTAATATCTATTGATCTAAACCAATCGCACAGCTGTCGTGGATTAAATACTACTGATAGTTTGACAACAATCAGCGATTTACCAATCATACATTTAGAAGAAAAACCTGTTGACGTATATTCTCTTCTTCTTCTGTATATTTCCTTATTTAGACAGCATGTTATCTTGGGGAGTGTGGATATTTTTCATTTATCAAGGATAAATATTTTCCGTGTTTTTTTTTTTTTAAATTTTCATAAAAATGTGATAAGAACTGAAAAAAGTTTAAAAATCCGGGAATTAGAATGTGCTTGAAGCCTAAATCTTGATGGTGCTACTGAGCGGCGCCATGACACGGCCATCTCACTATGGGTGCTGCACCTTGCTCCACCTCCGGGAAGACAACGCCAGATTCATTCTCCTCTTCGTAGTGCTCCTACTCTACATGTTTGCGGGGGCATTCTTGTTCATGAGCCTGGAACAGGACAATGAACACAGAGAGAAAGAGGCATACCGGCGCTACCTGGCGGACTTTTACGCCCGAAACCCCAGCGTCAACAAAACAGATCTGGAGGAACTGCTAAAGAAGCACGGCGAGGCGGAGTCGGCGGGGTACGTTGATGACAAAAGACCGCGATGGGATTTTCCCGGGGCTTTCTACTTTGTGGGAACAGTTATATCTACAATAGGTACGTACAATTGCCTTTAATTCCTTCACTGTTTTCCGTTTTCAAATAAATGCTAACTTCTTATTGTTTTAAATCTTTTAAAATAAGGATTTATTTAAACCGAAATATTTCATGCCCTGATATTTTACTCTAGGATTCCATTACTTATGAAAATTTTAAAGTAATTGTATGTCATTCTAAAATTTTACGAAAAAATAATGAGAACCAATTATGTTTATACATTGCCACAGCAGGTAGCCATGTTTTATAATTTTTATTAAAAAGTACAGAAAGTGAAGGAAATTGAAATAATCTGAATAAAAATAAGTGTGCCAGATAAGGGATGTCAACAAGATGAAATGAGATAATTTGTCACAACAGGAAATGAGATGTAATGTTTCATAAAATGCAATAGACATCAAAATATACATTGTTAAATACACAGGGATTAATATATCGTATGCTCATTACTCATGAAATTTCTTTTTAATTTTTTTCCCTTCTCGTCGAAAAAAAATCGATTTTTCCTATCAAAACTGTCCGTGTCTTCTGGTAATGGTATACAATTATCTAGCTTGTTACTTCGAAAAGACGAGGACTAATTTCAATGTCATTCCAGTATTCCTTAACATTCGGTTATTTTTAACTTCAAGAGTCTGGATTCCAAGATATCCTCATTTATTTCTTCCGTAGATATTTTTAACTCTGGGAATCTGCATCACTTATGATTACTGATATTGTAAATTATAAGAAAGGGGCCTTTTTTTAATTGTTAAGTCAAGCCGTAAGGATTGTTCATAAATACCGTAAGCCTTTTCGTACTGACGTGCATATAGTCAATATCATTTGAATAATTAATTAATGTCCTGAACTTCAACCATAATTGCAAAGTGACAGCATTCTTATTTATTACCCCAAAAATTCTACGGTAACTTCAAGGAATTGTGAAATCTACATGCATCAATACTTGGCCATTCTCAATCAAGCCATCTGATTGTCTTATTGATTTTTTCACCTTCCTCAACACCTTAATTACGGTAAATAAACTCTTATATAAACAAAGTTTACATCATTGATAAATGTCAAACAATTAAACGGTAAAAATAATATTTTATTTCATTCATTGGGGGAAACGAAAAGGGATTAATTGATAAAGCAGTACTTGTATCATTTATACAGGAATGAAGAGTGTTTTCTATTTTTAATCCTTTTTTTAATTTAGACGTGAAATAAGGATTAATCAGACTCCACAGTTGATAGGGCTCATGTCCGTGTTCTCTTTGATCCCACTTGAAAGTCTTGTCCAAGAAAATCTAATTAATGTGTTTTTTTTATCTTTAACGACCAACAACACGAGTAGTATTGATCCAAGAACTCATAGACAACAATCTGAATTAGAAACTTCAATTTACATACAAATGATAAGTAGGAAGGAAACTTTAAAAAGAGCACAAGATCGATTTTTTTTTTCTATGGCTTTTTTGTTAAAACATATAAGATAACTTCCACCTTATCATGACTCAGCAATCCCAAGCCTAATCCTAATCCCATCTCACGGGGAACAAGGTTGTGTTAATGTTTTTCCGTCAATCGACATTTTGTAGTCAATTATTAAAGAAAGCAAGTAATTTTTTTTTTTGCAAAACTAGCATTTTTCACTTATTACATTGCTGAATGGCAGACATCTATGACCACTTTGTCTGTCCGACTATTTATCTTTAAAGATTCGCCTTTTCAAAAAAGAAATATATAAATACAGAGGTATACATGTGTTCGAAGCCGAAAAATCTTAAAAACAAGTATAAATAAAAAATTATTAAATGCAGAGGTATACATGTGTTCGAAGAATCTTTTGCAAATTGAAAAAAAAAATGAACAAGAGAAGTCATCATTTTCAAGTCGCTGAAAGTGCAACTTCCGGTGGATTTTCAACAAAACTAACATTTTCTCGAGTCACTTCCGTTATTTGTTCATCGTGTGGCCAGAAATCAATAAACCTTAATCCTTTCAACAGCTCCATGTGTCAAGATAAGAGTTCTTAAAGAGTAATTGCGTCCTCCGGAGTGCTTCAAGCAGATGCTTTGTTTGTGAAATAAGGATAAATGCATGGTAATTTCGTTGGCTTGAAGCCCTTTGGTCGATGGATGTCGCTGTCCTTATTGCTTGTCCCAAGAGTTTCACGAGAGTTGTAATTGCCTTTTTTATACCCTTCACCAAATGTGTTTCATAAACTAGCTAAGAAATATAAAGTTTTAATCATTCCATTGCAAACCGTGTTTGCCAATGTAAGGACAAGGAATATTGACCATCGCTCATTCATTTACAGGGGTCATTATTCGTCGCCACACCGCTTTTTATTTCTTACAGCAAATTACTAAATTTAAATGATTACAATACACGTATGTTATAGACTTAAAAAAAAAATCATCAACTGCAACTTTCATTTATTTTGAAATATACATGTATTAACTAATGAAGTTCGAATGGAGAGAAATAAGCTCTTTTAATGTAGGAAAAGTCTACTAGTTTGTTGAAAACTCAAGTTTGCTGTAATTTGAATTAAGCTTGTATGGAAGATAAGAAAACAACTCCATCAGATTTTCAATTTTTTGAAATAAAATCGATGTACTTTCTCGGGAAGGAAGAAACAGAATCTCTTTGATTTATCATTTAAAATGAAAACCACAGCTCCAACTTTTCGAAACTATGACTAGGGATTTAAGTTCATCAAACTGTAAGGTCTAAAATCGATGGTAAAAATATTTTACTCAAGGAAGCTTTTAATCGCAAGGAACACAAATATTAAAAATGAACGCAAGAGCACAAACCGTTTAAAAGTAATGACCAAGCTCAAAGTTTGGTAAAAAAAAAAATTCCAAGGTCAGGGTCATGAGGTCAAATTTGTTGGTACCCAAAGAAAGATTCTGTCACAATATACATTATGAAATATGAAAAACCTAGCTCCGACAAATACTAAGTTAAGAGCAAGGTTTACATTTTGCGGACAAATATATATATAGACAGACGTGCAAACAGACAGATGGACAGGACAAGATCTATATACCCAAGACCTTCGATTACTGGACATAAACGTAGGATGAAGATTCCGGAGTATATAGATTTTGCCCTTTCTGTCTGTCTGTTTATCTGTTTGATGTTGTCTGCAAAAAGTTTAACCTTTTCCATAACTTTTGAGTGGGTGGGGTGGCTATGGCTATCATATTTCATAGGTGTATTTTTTGTAACAAGACCTTTCTTTTGGTTCCACCAAATTTGACCTCGTGACCTTGACCTGGGAGTTTAAATCACATTTAACAAAAATTTCCGAACATTAACTCTCGCCATAAGCTGCAATACGGGGGCATCAATGTTTCACAAACACATTTTTTAAAATTAGCTTTGGGGCTATATATATGTATGGGCACATGGCTATTTATGCTGAAATGTTTTTTGTACTTTAATAACCCAATCAGGTTAGGCAACCATTACACAACACCTTATATAAAATCTACTTTCATTCAGTATTAAGTACTTTAGTTTGTCACGTTTATTTCCAGTACCTGGTAGTTATTCCTCTCGCAGGCGATGAGAATTTACCATGCTAGCATTTGATCTTTTTTTTTAAATCGTTATTATAGTCTTTCAAATTATAACATGTTTTCAATAAGGATTGTCCACCAATGGCTGAAATATTGTCGTCTGGGTGTTAAACAATATCTATAAATTTATCAACCAATCATTCAATAAGGTTTTTCTTTCTGTACTGGCATATCCACTTTCCATTCTATTGAAATAACAACCATTTTTTTGCAAAAAATACCAAATGAGGATTATAAATATTCATGTATTTGATGACACTTTTCTTTTGACAATTCCTCATGCATTTTACACACAAAATATACATCTAGGACTAAAAGCAGAGAAATATTTTCATGATGCAATAAAGGTCTTGATAGAATGTTTATTGATTACTTGTTGCAATTATTCACTGATTTAATGAACTGTTTTAAATGCTATACCGTGTATCCACATGGTGCCATAAAGCAATGCCGGTTCCTACAATCGAATAATGTTTTCCAAGTCGTAACCGTTGCTCGACTTTGTGCATAGACTAATCCGTACGGTATTAAATGCAATTTGTACATCATTTCTTAGTCAAAACAAGGGTAATGTATCGGGCCAAACCTTTTTAAAGCGTGCAATGACACATGATGAAAAAAAGAGAAGAGAATGGAATAAGGATTCCTTTGCAAGTATTAATAAGTGTTTTCTTCTTTTGCTATAACACTGAATATTACATATATTTTGTCGAAATTAGGTAACAAAATGTTGACAATTTTTCCCCTTAGTTCTCTTCATATCTGTCTTATGCTGATGCAATGTCAATTATTTGGACACACTGATGAATTAATGCTGGGGTTTGCTTTTACAACGGCAAAGAAATACTTCTTAGTCGGCCGACCAAAACTGAATATACTTTGTTTATGTACTTTAAAAATGTTATATTTATTTTGAAATACCTTGTGAATTGTTAAATCTTATATAATTACGATAAAGTGGTAGCACTTCACATGAACAACACCTTGAAGATAACATGGCATAGTTATATGAAAGTATATTTACTTTACAGTATGTTGCGGGAGTAAGAAATATCAGTACATACAATTAATGTGACAAACTACTTTAATGGATTAAAAGAAAACGCTTCTTGCTAAGATTGGCAACGCATACTTTAAAACGACAATGAAGTACTGCTTACATACGATTTTTTGGAGAGGGGAAGTATATTTTTGTTATTGGGCCTGAAATAAAAAAAAATACCACAGAGTGTGGCACATCTGTTACATATTAAATTGGATCTTTTACTAGAAAAAGATGTTAATGGTTATTAAACAACAAAGCTTTACATCACGACTTTCACTTTTCAATCGTCAAATTTCCCTTGTTTATGCATCAATATAGCTTTATCACCTGCAATTCCCATGGGTACCAATTGCGCTCTTTTATTATCAGGCCCATTT